CTCGACCTCTTTAACTAAATTGTACTTTTTACTCCTAGTGTAACAACATTTCCACCCAGTAAGCCACAATAACCAAAGGGGATTCCTATGAAAAATAGCAATAATAAAAACTAGAGGTAGATTTCCTGTAACTCTAGATGCATACTTTGCATATGCAGACTACCACATTGAGCTTCTCTTTCTCCTCGAGCAACAATCATCTATGAACTGGGCTCTTTTAGTAATGGAATATACTGTGAAGTCTGCCTAAAAATGAAACATAAAGAGTATGCAAAAAGTTGGCAAACATAAAGAGTATGCAAAATGTTGGCTTATAACTACCAAAACCTAAGCAATATCAAACAAAGAATTTGTAGTGATTGATGGCTTGGATGGAGCATATCAATACTGGAAGATTGCGACAAGAAGAAATTTGAGGCAATATAAGAGAGTTAAATTCACTACCACAATGGAAGGAACTTATTTGCAATCAGGAAGAATTAAAGCGTTTGGATCTTGATCCATCTTCCAATTCTTGAACAATACGTGGTTTGCTTAATTAGCGTTTGTATTCACTCTCAAGTAAAGAAACTCCATAATTCTTTCTTTGGTATTCAAAGCACAGTACAAAGTTTGTGGAAGTCCAAAGCCCAGTTCAAAGTTTCTTTTCAAAGTCTTGCACCCATCTCTGAGTGTTCTCTCTATAAAGGCAAGTGAAGACCATGGTTGTGTTTTCTTCCATAATTCTTATTTAAAAAAGTACTGCCATTTTTTGTTACAACAATTTAATATTTCATGGGTATTCAATAATCGTTCGTGCAAACTTCTTTGTAGGTTAGTCTTGGGGATTTTTTGTACTCCTAAAAGGATTTTGTAACCTGAACACTCCTATAGCTTTTTAATATGAATTAATGAAAAGTTCGTTGCATGTTAAAAGAAAAAAAGTACCAAACAAATTAAGAGCCATTTACCAGTAACCAAGAAGACAATTTACTAAAAAGTACAGCCATTTAACAATATAGTACACAAGAGAAAAATAATTCACACCTGGAGTTCTTCGTGAACTTTCATATCTACTTCTTTTTTTTTCATGTTCCCTGCCGTAGTCCTTTTGGTACCGGGATCTCCCATAATAGGGCTCATCACCATCATAATTGTGCCCATGTCTCGCCCGCCTGTTATTGCTTCTACCATCATTGTCAAAATCTTTTCTCTCTCTATCATGATTATCATAGTCTTGTCTAGGGCTCCTATACCTGCTCATATGAGCGCTTCTGGATGACATAGTTATAACCTTCAAAACAGAATAAGAGCAAGAATACATGAGACTAAATGAACCAGAAAATGCAAGCATGCCCGAATGAATATAGCTTTCTAACAAAAATCTCAAAACCAACGTAAAGAAACAGATTGCCAAAGGAAGTTAACGGAAGTTAGTTTCCTATCAATACACATACACATAACTAGTTAGTTTCCTATCAATACACATACACATAACTAGTTAGTTTCCTATCAATACACATACACATAACATACCTACTTACATACAAATATATATAATAATTATCATTCTAAGAGTTTTAATACATCAGAACAGTGTTCTCTCCGAATGTTCATGACTGTACAGACATTAATATCATGTTTCACTGATGATAATATTGAATTTAGAATAAGGTTAAATTGTTAACTTCAGGATTCAGCAAAAAGCAACCAAAATGAAAAATGAACTTACACTAGAATCTGAAGTTTCACAAGAGTCATGGTTCTTAAATGAATCTCCAGCTATTTCTTCTTGAACTGAAGGAGTACCTGGAGGATGGAAATGAAAACCAACGAAACATTTTTACGTGGATTACATTTCAGTGGGAAAATAAAGAAAACAAAAAGGTCAACGTTCATATCATGGAATAAGTTAAGCTGATAAACATGCCAATTGTAAACTCTGAGGTAAACAGGCATGAATAAGCAAACTAAACTCTTTTTTTTTTTTTTTTTTTCACTTAATTTAAGAAATGACTTCAGTTAAACCACAGACAGAGAGAAAGAGAGGGCATCCACACAACTCAAGCCAGATAGAATCACAAAGACTTCCAATTGGCAACTATGAAGAACAACCACAAAAATGCTCATCTAAAAGCCACTTCAAGAGGCGCAACTAACCAAATATATAAAAACATATCCATCCCTCCCAATGCCCTCAAATATTCTCCTGTTCCTCATCAGTCTAAATTTTACAAATGGGTATGGGACCAAGGCGATGTTCAACCAAAGGAGAGATGACTTTTTTTCTAAAGAAAAGAAAACCGATTCCTGGGGGAACATCACAGGATTGATCACATAACATTTCCCTTCAATCAATTTACACCTACATGTAATGACAATATATAAGTTTTTTGTACGTAGCTTCCTGGGAGGGGCAATCTCTACCCCTGCCCTCAGTTCTTTTCTTTTTTCTTCGAGTGCACATTTTTTCTATCAAATATATATATATATATATATACATATATATACCTAGAGTTGTAAGTAGAAAAAGAAAAGGAAAAAAGAAACTTTGCATGATAGAAACTTTCAAGGGAGAAGTACCTTCATATGAATCATTGGAAGCTATTTCCCGATAATTCCGATTTTTAACAGAATGATTTTGTGAAATAGATTCTTTTCCCGAATCAGTGACACCAGATGATTCAAGTGTCTCCTCTTCCTCCATTGATGAAACAAAAGAGGCAATACTTTGCTTGGGGATTTTGAATCCATTATCATTAGATCCTCCCCGTTTTGCATTTGCAAGTACATCGAGGCCTGAACATCAAAAAATAAATAAATAACTCAAACAGAATTCTTCATAATGTCAAGGTGAATATAACAGAGAAAAAACCTTTCTTTCGAGCACATAAAAGTTCCTAAACCCTCAACACCCGGATCTCAATGGGATCTTGAATTATGACCCAAGGGAAGCCAAGGTAAGACAAAAGGAGATAAGAGATCTCCCACCTACTAAGTACCAGCTATGCGCACCTAAATAAAGTAGTTTAGCCAACCCCTGGACATATTTATCTTAATTTTAAGACTTGAAATGGACTCAAAGACATTCAAAATAGGGTAGAGAAAAACAAATACTCTTGAAGAATATTTGGAATCTCATTGTTCTTGTGGTTTCTTCCTAGAGGTTTTCATCCAATCTTATCTAATGTTTATTAATATGGACAAGAACCACTAATCCGTACCATAATCGAAAATCTCCCAAATTTAGGTCCAAAATCTATCCATTTAAAATTCTAGAATGTTGTCCTCCGTTATCTTGAATGCTTATTCAGTTTAAGAGATAAAACAAATACAAATGCATGTCAATAATAGTCGCACCTAGATGAGATCTTCTCTCAGGAGGTCTAAACACCGGTCTGTCCTTTCCAGGAACTGACAATCCCCCTTCAGTATTATTCTCTGGTTCCAGCAATAGTGTTGTTTTCTCTATGTCAATAACTCCACCATCTCCTCCTTGCGTCTGACCATTGAAAAAAGGCATAACCAAAAGTTACTAAATGCAAGAAAAAAAAAGGGGGGAATGTAGAAATTTGACGTAAAAGATATCAAATATATTGGAACAACGTGTTGCAAACACGGCAATATAAACACTTCAGGTACAATTGAATTCCACGCTGACCTTCATTAGACAGCCAAGTTTCAAACTTCAATTCACGAGGCGCCTCCCTCTTTGTAAAGAATGAGCAAGCAAGATTTAATCTGGAAAAATCAAACCCGCTACAAAATTAGCCATAGAAAACAGAAATAACGATACCCATTATCCCAATTTAAGGAGAACAAATGCCATATTGATTCTAAAGCACCAAGAAACCTCCAGTATGTTAGAATATCAGTTAATAAAAGACAGCCACTTCAAAACAAAGCTGAAGGAAGACACAAGAAGCAGCAAAAGAAGTTGCACTGCCCTTTACTAAATTGTAACGAAATAAACGAAAATTAGATATCATCAATCAATCAGATAAAGAAAACGGAAAACCCCAGAAACAAAAAGCTTCGGGAACTGAAGTTTGACTGACCTTAGAGTAGCAAATAAGATTTGGGATTTGAACGATAGATGAGGAGGGAAATTGTGGCGATGGTGGGGAAGAGAGTCCACCGGCGATCTGCTGTGGAGATCAGGAATTTAGATGTTCGTTCTTTTCCTCTATAATTAATAGAAACTTGAGGGGCTGCTGTCAACATAACCGACTTTAGCTTAATAAAAGAAAAAATTTAATATGCCAAGATAATTGAGAATTCTTTTCGTTCAAACCTACAATGAATATTCCTTTTTAACAGAAAAAATTATAACCAATAATATAACGAAGGGGGTATACGCGGGTTGGGTTGAGGGGTTTTTTCTTGGCCCAACCTGAAACAGACACCCGAAAAAACTGAAGGGGCTGTACAGAAAGTGGTTAGCTGCTCAGTGTGCTTGTTGAATTTGCTTGCCGAGTAGGATTGAGCTGCTGAATTGGAGGCAAATCCTCGACGGCATCAACTGTTCTTTCGCTGCTATTGGAAATTCATTGCTTCGCCAAAGGTGATAAAAAGAACAGATCAGAATACAGACTACACACCGCACACCTGGACTGGAACGTGGGCGTCCACGATGAGCGTTGGGCGACCACGGTGAGCGTTGGGCGACGGCGACGGCGACGTGTTGGTGGAGACTGGAGATTGGAATAACAGTGGAAGCGCTGTGCAGGCGAGGAATCGTGGATTTGGACGACCGCTAGGGCTGCAGATTTCAGGACTAATTTTATTTCATTAGTTGCCTTTCAATACTACATTTTTCCATTTTAATTGGAAAATTTATTTTTCTGTTACATAGATTTTAATATAATTTCTATTTAACATGTAAAATTTGAAAATATTATTAAATTTAAATTTTAAAATTTAAGTTTAGTTTATATGTCAAAAGGAAACTATATGTCACTAAATTAAAAATAATTAATTAATTAATTAATTAGTTGGAATCAACTCGAACTATTAGTCACTTTAATCACTTCAATTAACTTGGTAGCTCTTGAACCATAAGATTTGAACTTTACAATACACTAAGGAAGAAATTTAATAAATTTTAATACATGGTAAAAGGATAATTAATATTCAAAGGGCTGGTCCAATCGACTAACCCAACCTCGACTCAAACTTAATGAATCAAGTCTAAGAATTGGGTCATGGGCTTGACTTTTGAAGATTGAGTCGACCCATCGAGGCTTAGAAAGTGTTTTAAGCCAACGGGTTTGGACTTGGATTGAGCTTGTGTCTTTACTTCTTAAGATCAAATCGACCCACGGATCAAAGTATATCATAGAGCCAGAATAGATTGTGGGAGGTGAGTCATTGAGAGGTGCCTCAGCTGCCTATGGGCTAGGCTTGCGAGACGCTTAACTGTTGGGTCTATAAAGAGTATTTTCCCCTCACTGCCTCTCTGATATTTGGCATAGGCGAAGGTCTTTAGTTGGATGGGCAGTTGATCTGGTGGAAGCAATGGACTGAGAATCCACCATGTCTCCAACTCACAGGCTTACATCGAGTGCCCATCAGTCCTCTCTGATTTGAGGTGAATTCTGATGCAGTTGTGATCATTGATGAGATGGATCGGCAGGCTGCGCTATTGTTAGTGACCACAATGAAGAAATCTACGATGCGTTAGAAAAGAGCAGAGCAGGTTAATTTTGATGAAATTTTTCGAGATAAGGGATTTGAAAGAATAAGAATTAAAGACTTAATAATAGTTGGACGTAAATTCAAAAATTTGTATGCCACCTACTCACCACTAGTTATAACCTCGAAGTATTTCTCTCTCTCGTACATCCTAAAATGAAAAACTCTATGTAACATTGTGGCCACCTCGTTGAATTATCTTTGACTGAACAAGACACAAACAAGAATAGACAAACTTCATGGATGAAACTCTTCCATCTTTTTAGGCTCACGGCTCTATTACATGGTTTCTAGCTAAATCATCAATAGTTCCTAAAGCTATCACGCACCAAGTCGGTGTGCATAGCTTCACAAGTTTGATGTATATTAAAAAATGTGTATACCTCTACTCATCACTAGTTATAAACTCAAAGTATTTCTCACTCAAACATCTTACAATAAAAAACTCTCTAACACATTGTGGCGAACTCATTGAATTATCTTGATTAAACAAGACAAACAAGAATATAGAAACTTTATAGATGAAACTCTTCCATCTTTTTAGGCTCACGACTCTGGGCTCAAAACTCTACTACATGGTTTCTAGCTTGACTACCAACTTCGCCTAAGGCTATCACACACCAAGTCCGTGTCTATAGCTTTACAAGTTGGATGTGGATTAAAAAATTTGCATGTCCTACTTATCACTAGTTATAAACTCGAAGTACTACTTATCACTAGTTATAAACGAAGTACTTCTCTCTCATAAGTCTAACAATGAAAAACTCTCTGATACATTGTGGTGACCTCATTGAATTATCTTGACTAAACAAGACACAAACAACAATACGCAAACTTCATAGATGAAACCCTTCCATCATTTAGGCTCACGACTCTAGGCTCACAGCTCTGCTACATAGTTTCTAGCTTGACCATCAACCATTCCTAAGGCTACCATGCATCAACTCGGCGTCCATAGCTTCACAGTTCTCTTGTACCTCTACTTTTCCCCTACATGTAGAGATCCAATTTTCACAACAGATCACCCAGAGCATCAGCATGACGCTCTCCATGATTATAATTTATCAAAGAAAACAATCTTCCCCAGTCGTCTTTTGTGAATAATAAAATATACCCCACAAAACATAGATGTTCTTAGATTTTCCCCAGATTTTGTCTTTTTATCTTTCCTTATAACATATTATTATAAAAGCCCCATTCAATTCAACAGCACCACAGCAGGTCAAAGCTCGCTACCCAAGGATTGAATAGTAGAGACAAACAGGGTGTGTGTATCAATTTGGATAAGGAACACAAAAAGTTGTTGGAATATACAATCAGCCCCCTTCCAGAGACAACAGAGACCATCATGCATGCATCTATCTTACGTTTAACCTATAAACAAATTTCAATTTCAATTCACAAAAGCAACCTTAAAAATTTCCAATTAAAATAATGGAATCCTACGGAGTTCAGACAAAATCCCCCCTGCAGAGCTCATCCCCGACGGCTCAAAACACTAAAACTATACGAATCAATCAATTCATCTTCCCAGAAACTCCCCTCACCACATACGACAATTTCAACCTTCAAACATGGCTGACTTAGTTTCTAGTGTATTAAATTCACTTATAAATATAATAGATTTCCATTACCTCGTTGGCGGTTCTCCAATTTTGAAATCTAAATCTTTCCCCAGCTGCAGTTCTCTGTTGCACAGTGTTCATAATTATAACCAAAAAGAAGAAAAATGGAAGGAAAGAAAACAGGAAATGGAGGGAAGAGGTCGACAAACGAAGCTCGTTACCGAGGGATACGGCGGCGTCCATGGGGGAAATTTGCGGCGGAGATTCGTGATCCGTCGAGGAACGGCGCTCGGCTGTGGTTAGGGACGTTCGACACGGCGGAGGAAGCGGCGAGAGCGTACGATCAAGCGGCGTATGCGTTCAGAGGGCATTTGGCGATTCTGAATTTTCCGAATGAGTACCAAAGTGGAAACCCTCATTTCGCGGCGGCGCCTTCTTCATCAGCGACGGCGATCTCTTTCGCCGGAAATTACTCCGGCGGCAATGCGAACTATCGATCGGGGGAAGTGATAGAGTTCGAGTATTTGGATAATGAACTCTTGGAGGAACTTTTGCAGTCGGAAGGAGAAGGATTTGATCGGAGAAATTGAGGATGGTGGATTGGGGAAAATGTTGATCAGTTTCAAATCTTTAGCGTTGGATTAATTTGATTTTGTTTTTTTTTTCAGATGCACTAAATTTGTTGTATGTTTGAAATTGTTAAAATAAAATAAATAAATTATTTTCTTACTCCACTCCAAATTTTTAATGGCTAACAACCTATAAAATTCTCGAACAAATTCAACCAACAAAATGTCAACTAGCAAACTAATCAAAATTTTCCATTTTTAAAAAAATTAAGCCAACCCAAATCGAAAAACTAAACCTAACTCGACTCCTAACTTGTATGATTTGGATTGGGTCTTGAATCACATGAACCCTGTTGACCGCATGTGAAGTAAAGGATTCAAATATTTAACACTTTACTCGAAAACTATATTTCTATAAATTCATTTGATGACGTAGAATATCGAACATAGAAATATAAGCAATGATTTGAAAAGAGGGGATGCACGGGGGATCGTAAAAAGCTAATATTTTCAAGGATGCTCAAATTGACCAACCCCATCCCTAGATAGTTCTAAAAATGGCAAAACAAAAGAAAAATAAGAGACTTTTATTGAATTTCTTCTCCTCGACCAAATAAACGAGAGGAAATTCGATCTCATTAAGCTCGTTAAATTAAAATAAGAGAAATTTGAACTTAAAAATGTCGAATTTGAGGGTTTGGTCGAGCCCTTTAGGTTTCGATTAAGGAACAAAAAAAGTTTGTTTCTTCTAAGAGAAACGAAGCTACTATACCCTCTCGTTATCACAGATGCAAGTGGTTTCCTTCCCTCTCATTAATGATAGTCATCTTTGACGTGCTTATTATGGTTAGTGATCAAGTTATTTTATTTTTAATAATAAAAATATTGATTTTAATCCAAATTTAAACGAGTAGCTTTCACAAAAATTTATTAGCATGTATGAAAAAAATAGGAGTCAAGTCATTACAGTCCCGTTTTTTTTTTTTTTTTTGGAAAGTGTTGCTTGAGTTCAGAAAATTAACCTAAACCCAACTTGAAATCCCAATCTAACATAACCCAACCCCTATAATTCGGGTTGGGTCGGCTTAGGTTCAATGTATACCTCTCATTTGAGTTCAGGTTTATAGAGGTGTTCATCCTAAATTGTTCGACAAATTTTGATTTATTTTTAATGCTATCGACTATTTTGTTGATTATTCCAAGTTGGAACGGTCGACTATAGAATGTAGGTCGGTTTTCTCCCAATATAAAACAAAGATGAACATAATTAAAAATTTTAAAATTATTTATTAGATTGGAGACAAATTTAAAACTTGGAAATATGGAGAAAAATTGGGAAATAATAGATTTAGCAAAAGCCGCTGACAAAACGTCGACGTTTAATCCACCTTCGAGGCTTCGATTCCTCAACCTGCATTGAGAGAAGGGTTTTGCAAAAACCTCGCAACTGCGCAGCGGATCATTCAGTTTCAGTGCCACAATGAGAAGAAACGCCTCAATTTCACTTCTTTTTCACTCCAATCGTTTCAATCTCCGCTCACTCTCATCCCTCATTTCGCCAAAGTTCATTTCCGATCCTTCCTTTTCATATTCCTCCCCTGTTTCAACCACCCATCTCAATCCCTGCACCAAAAACCATGGATTGTTCTTCAAGTTCAAACGATTTCAAGCAAACCCATCTCGGAATTTGGAAACCCTCGTGGAGAAACGCCCTCAAATTTCTTCAAGACAGCGCAAATTCAAGGAGAAATCCGAGCTTGAGGAGGCTTTTGAATCTGCCAACACTGTTGATGAAATGGTCAAGGCGTTTAAGGACATGGAATCCACTTTTGAAGAGAGGGATCTCGGGTTGGCTTCCTTGAAAATCGGTCTGAAACTCGAGCAAGAAGATGAGGATCCTGAAAAGATTCTGGTTTATGCTACTAGAGCTTTGAAAGCCTTGGATAAAGATGATAATGGGAAACTTTCTTTACCTGTTGCTATGACTTTACAATTGTTGGGTTCTGTTAATTATAGCTTGAAAAGGTTTAGTGATAGTTTGGGGTACTTAAATAGGGCTAATAGGATTCTAGGTCAGTTAGAGGAGAGTGGCTTTAGTGCTGAGGGTATTAGACCAGTGCTTCATGCTGTGCAACTTGAGTTGGCAAATGTTAAGACTGCAATGGGAAGGAGAGAAGAAGCTCTTGCTAATCTCAGGAAGTGTTTAGAGATCAAGGAGTTAACCTTGGAGAAGGATAGTAGAGAACTGGGGAAGGCGAAACGAGATTTGGCAGAAGCTTATGTTGCTATATTGAACTTCAAGGATGCTCTTCTCTTTTGTATGCAGGCATTGGAGATACACAAGAAGCAGTTGGGGCATAATTCAGTTGAAGTTGCTCATGATAGGAGGCTTCTTGGGGTGATTTATAGTGGGTTGGAAGAACATCAAAAGGCATTGGAGCAGAATGAATTGTCTCAGAAGGTTTTGAAGAACTGGGGCCTTAATTCTGACTTACTTCGTGCAGAAATCGATGCTGCTAATATGCAAATTGCGCTCGGTAGGTATGATGAGGCCATCAGTACTCTTAAGGATGTTGTTCAGCATACCGAAAAAGACAGCGAAACTCAGGCAGTGGTGTTTATCTCAATGGGAAAAGTGTTGTATAATCAGGAAAAGTTTGCTGATGCAAAGAGATGTTTGGAGATTGCTACTCGAATTTTTGACAAGAAAGAAGCAGCTTCTCCCGTGGAAGCTGCTGAGGCGTATTCAGAAATATCAATGCAGTATGAGTCAATGAACGAGTTTGAAACTGCAATTTCTTTATTGAAAAGATCTCTAGCTTTGCTTGAGAAGCTTCCTCAAGAACAGCACTCAGTAGGTAGTGTTTCAGCTAGATTAGGGTGGTTGCTACTGTTGACTGGTAAAGTTCATGAAGCTATTCCATACTTGGAGGGTGCAGCAGAGACTTTGAAAGAGAGTTTTGGTTCCAAGCATTTTGGAGTTGGATATATATACAATAATCTTGGAGCTGCGTATTTGGAACTCGAGAGACCACAATCGGCTGCGCAGATGTTCGCAATGGCAAAGGACATTATGGACGTATCACTTGGCCCCCATCACGCTGATTCAATTGAAGCCTGTCAGAATCTTGCAAAAGCATATGGCTCATTGGGAAGGTATGGTTACTTTCAAGGGTTTTACTCATTATCATTCTTTGAAATCCTTATTGAGGTAGTTGGGTTTATGGATCACATTGAGACACAGAACCATATGGATTAGGGAGATCAAAGTGTTTTGTATTGAATGGTAGAGTAGGAAACGAATCCATTGTAATATGTTTTCTGACCTCAAAACAGCTTAGATCCTTTTGGAGATTATAAGGGTGTGGAAACCTTTCCTTAGTAGGCGCATTTTAAAACCGTGAGACTGATGACAATACGTAACGAGCCAAAGCGGACAATATCTACTAGCGGTGGGTTTGGATTGTTACAAATGGTATCAAAGTCCGACACCGGGTGACGTGCCAGCAAGGACGCTGAGCCCCCAAGGGTGGGGATTGTGAGATCCCATATCGGTTGGAGAGGGGAACAAAACATTTCTTATAAGAGTGTGGAAACATCTCCCTAGTAAACGCGTTTTAAAACCGTGAGGCTTAAGGCGATACATAATGGGCCAAAGCTGATAATATTTGCTAGTGGTGGGCTTGGACAGTTATAGGATTTTAACCGATTTTTGGACTACCCAAACTAATAGGTTGATCTTGTAATTGAATTTCCTTTGAGAGTCACTTGACATACATGATAAATATCCTAGGAAGCACAAACAAGCTAAAAAACGTGTATGGATTAAATATAGTTTTTTAAATTTTGGACACGGCTGGATACGGTTTGGTGACATCTCGGAAAAATATTTAACTTAAAAACTAGGAGGAATAGAGGTTTCCTTATGGAATCCTTATATCTTCATCAATCATAAAGAGTTAGGGTGATGTCTTCTTTCTCTAGCCATAATCATCTCAACCTTTCTATATCTTTTAAGATTTCATACATGGTTGATTGATTTTACTTTTATGTTTATAGTGAAGTATATTTGTTTCTATGTTATGTTTGAAGGAAAAAACGTGTCCCCAACGCGTTCATGTCCTACTTTTTTTAGACATCGACATGTCACTGTGTCTGTCTCGTGTTTGTGTCTGTGCTTCTTGGTAGATATCTCACTACTATTTGGAATAGAATATTAAAGGGTATATGATTATGCAGCAATTGGGGTAGTGGGGTCATTCTTGATCTCATTAATTTACTCTTTTTTTTCTGTGTGTTGGTGCCAGTTACGCCCTTGCAATTGAATTCCAAGAGCAAGTGGTTGATGCTTGGGAAGGCCATGGCTCAGCTGCAGAAGATGAACTTAGAGAAGCCCAGCGAATGCTCGAACAATTGAAGAGGAAAGCACACGGTAAGTCGAAAATCGAGCTCTCGATGAAGGCCTTGCCCCTACCTCATTCCTCCACCTCTTCCAAAACTCTGCAGCCTGATATTCCCAGCAGTCAGGAACATCAATGGCCACAACATGTCAAATCTGATAAGCTATTTTGCGACTCCAGATAAATCAATAGATCAGATCAATCTTCTTAGTAAAGTTTTATCGTATGAAAGCTCGGATACTTTCGGAAATACGTTCCTTTAAAGCCTCTGTCATCTTTTGTGCATAGCGGGGACGACCTTGAAATATAAGACCCTATGTTTTGCATGCATGTCTTTCTACCCT